ATAAATGTATGTGATGTGTCATGCAATAGATGGAGCCTGTGATTCAATCGAATGTCAACGGCGTGGAGACATGCGCGATGGAGACCCAGGACATTGTCAAGGGTATCGCAGTTGTCAGCAACGAAGGGATATCGGTCGGAGCAAACACCACAGACTGTGCAGTGGTCCTTGCGGCAATTTGTCARCAGACTGCAGACATGATGACGGATGGTGAGGCCAGTGAGAATGATGCAGGGTGTGTTGTTGCAGACGAGGATGTGGTTAGGACGTCAGCAAAAACTCTCTTTCCCTATGACATCAATTGGGTGCCTGGTCGTCTTCAACCGGGTATCGTTGGAGGAGCGTCGTGCTTCGCGTTCAAAGTCAATGTGGAATGGGTTCCATATCCCGCCCCCAAAGCGACGTCGTGGAGGGGCGTGACTCTGTCAATCATCTTTGACAGAGTGCTGAGGTTGAACGATGAGGTGAGCGCTGACGACAAATCGCGGCATGTGTTGAAACTGTGGCATGTTCTGGACGCGAAGGGCGAATTGAGGCTTAATGATTTTGAGTACGACAGTGTCGACTGTGGAGAGTCATGGGCCATTGGCGGGTTGGACACTGCAGCGAGTTCGGTTTGCCCACAGACTGATGCCAGGAGTGGGGTTGGGTGCCACATGACGCCCCGCTTCTTTGTGGCCGTGTGAAGGTGCCGATGCGTGATGCTATGGGGAATGTATGGACCACGTGTTATATAAACGGCAGCTTCTCATCTAGGCACCTGAACAGGGAGGTGACTGAAGAGGAGAAGATGGCGATGGCTTGTCCCACCCCTGCTGCCCGTTGTTTTTCGCCGCCTCTTCGGAACCCTGTGGAGCTCGAGGTGGCAGAGGGGAAAGTGTTCGCGGGTGACCATGGGTACACATACACGCATGCCAGAGGGGAGGACGCTACTGCTGATGGAATAACCACGCTGGTATAGGACCCATTCAACCTGAACCCTGACGTTCTGGCTGCCATAGACATTGCGGCCCATGTTATCCCTGAGGGGCAGTTGCAGCAGCATGTGGCCCCTCAGAAGTATGAATATCGTGTGAATTGGGTCCCAGGATGTCTGCAGCCGGCAACAGTTGATGGCAAGGTGACCATGGTAGCGAAACTGCAGACAGGCCATTGGCTGCCCTTGGGGTGGATGCATGCAGGCATGGTGGAGCAGTGGCAGTTCCTGGTGGTAGTGGCACGTGTCTCCATTTTCAATGCAGATGTGAAGGACCACGTGCTGGTTGTGGAGCATGCAAAGCGGTGCTGGGAGAAGATAAGGGAGGAGGACCGTCAGATGGTGTGCATGGGTTACGATTCCATGCCAGACCAGGGGATGTGGTCCATGGTTGAGGGGAGTCCTGGTGGGCAAGGGCAGGGCGATGGCGAGAACAGGTACAAGGCTTACATCCGCCGCAGGCATGGTTGCTCCGCCCTTGTTGGTTGGGTCCCGGCCGTATGTCGCATGGCATACGAGCAAGGTGGAGAGATGATGATGAGGTTCAGGGACCCGCTTGGTGTGCTGTTTCTGCTGACGTACTCGGATGGCCTCCTGCGAGACATTCGGTATATGGTGGCCGAGGACACCCGAGGTGGACATCGGAGGCCGGGACAGACGGAGGAGACGCGCCCGGGACATCTGGACGGTTTGTCTGCTGAGGTGGAGGGCCCATGTGGCGGTGAGCGAGTTGCAGGGTGCTCTGCAGCGCAGGGTGACGTGGTCGGGACCAGCAAGACAGCGATGTCCCACAGCCCGAGGAAGGTGAAGGCGGTTGTGTCGAGGCCGCGGAGGGGGAAGACGGTTGGTGACAAGCAAAAGAAGAACCCCCAGCCTGTGCCACAGACCGGTAACAATGCAGATGCGCCTGCACGGGTCCACAGACGCCGCAGACACCCCGGGATGGCAGCTTTGACAGAGATCAGGAAGCTGCAACGATCCACCGACCTTTGTATCCCTTTCAGGCCCTTCTTGCGCGTCGTCCGCGAGGTGGTGGAGAAGGACATTACCCCTAATAAGGACCTGAGGTTCGAGATGACGGCTGTGTGTGCTTTGATGGAGGCTGGGGAGGCCTACCTAGTCGCCAACTTCGAGAACACAAACGAAGTGGCGATCCACTCGAAGAGAGTGACCATCAAGGTGAGGGATATGAGGCTGGTGGATAGGTTGACGAAGCCTCGCTGGGTGGAGAAATATCAGGGGATATTGGACGAGAGGGCTCGAGCTGAGGACATGCAGCGATGGATGGATGCCAGACAGGCTGAGAGGGAAGGCCGGGGAGCAGGCGCAAAGAAGAGAAAGCCACCGGCACCGAATCGTAGGGGGGGTGGCGCAAGAAAAAAGGCTGCATGAGAGACAGTGTGTGTGTGCTTCCGGAACGCTTGTCTTGTCTCTGTCTGTCATGCTTAGTTTTCGTGGTGTGAGGCGG